TTTTAAATGTCTTTTATCATTTAAATTAATAAATATTTTAACATTATCAATTTAAAATTTTTAATGGCATTCCCAGACACCTTTGACAAATTTTAATTTTAATTTACATGAACATCTTAATATATTCTTTTAAAAAAATATTCATATCTTTTAAAATATTTTCATATTTTAATCTTTCAAGAAACTAATATATTTTATTATATATAAAGTCGAAACTTCTAGGTATACTCTAAACACTCATTTAAAATTTAATTGTATTTTACTTATATTTTAATATAACTTCTTATAAAAATTTTTAATAGGAAAGAGGCAAAACAATATGGACTTTAAGTTCTTAATGTATTAGCTTATATAACTACAAAAGTCAAATGATTCTCAAATATTTTTCAATCAATCATTTATTATTATTAAAAAATATATGCATGTTATAATAAAATATTTTAAAAGAATATTAAAAATGCTGATATGCATTACAATTTAAACTATAAGTTTTTTATGTGTTGACTTACATTACAAAAATGATCAAATGATTTTTAAATGTCTTTTATCATTTAAATTAATATATATTTTAACATTATCAATTTAAAATTTTTAATGGCATTCCCAGACACCTTTGACAAATTTTAATTTTAATTTACATGAACATCTTAATATATTCTTTTAAAAAAATATTCATATCTTTTAAAAATTTTTCATATTTTAATCTTTCAACAAACTAAAATATTTTATTATATATAAATTCGAAACTTCTAATTATTGCCTAAACACTCATATAAATATTTAATTGTATTTTACTTATATTTTAATATAACTTCTTATAAAAATTTTTAATAGGAAAGAGGCAAAACAATATGGACTTTAAGTTCTTAATGTATTAGCTTATATAACTACAAAAGTCAAATGATTCTCAAATATTTTTCAATCAATCATTTATCAATATTAAAAAATATGTGCATGTTATAATAAAATATTTTAAAAGAATATTAAAAATGCTGATATGCATTGCAATTTTAACTATAAGTATTTTATGTATTGACTTACATTACAAAAATTATTAAATGATTTTTAAATGTCTTTTATCATTTAAATTAATAAATATTTTAACATTATCAATTTAAAATTTTTAATGGCATTCCCAGACACCTTTGACAAATTTTAATTTTAATTTACATGAACATCTTAATATATTCTTTTAAAAAAATATTCATATCTTTTAAAAATTTTTCATATTTTAATCTTTCAACAAACTAATATATTTTATTATATATAAAGTCGAAACTTCTAGGTATACTCTAAACACTCATTTAAAATTTAATTGTATTTTACTTATATTTTAATATAACTTCTTATAAAAATTTTTAATAGGAAAGAGGCAAAACAATATGGACTTTAAGTTCTTAATGTATTAGCTTATATAACTACAAAAGTCAAATGATTCTCAAATATTTTTCAATCAATCATTTATCAATATTAAAAAATATGTGCATGTTATAATAAAATATTTTAAAAGAATATTAAAAATGCTGATATGCATTACAATTTAAACTATAAGTTTTTTATGTGTTGACTTACATTACAAAAATTATTAAATGATTTTTAAATGTCTTTTATCATTTAAATTAATATATATTTTAACATTATCAATTTAAAATTTTTAATGGCATTCCCAGACACCTTTG